TATATATATATTTCATTATATATCATTATTATGATTATTATTTATGGTTTAATATTTAGTTGTCATTTCTTTTCTTTTTTTCTTCTTTTTTTACATTTAGGTTGCATTTGCCATCATCTAACGGTCACTTAAAGATAATCTTTAAAAACATTAATAATTCAATAACAGTGTTAAATGTAATCTTTAGCAAATCTCAAAATGAATATGTATTTTTCATACTGTATTTTATAAAGTTGTGATGCCTAAATCCACTTTATATGAAATATGACTGCTTTTAGATTTTAATGTTTATTTTTGTTGATTGAATTAGACATCATAAAATATAACTTTTTAATTGGCCTTTGGTTATTGTGCATAACAAAAAATAAAAATAGGCTTATCGGTGTTTGCAATAATTTTTGTATTTGTGCACCGCACATAACATTTCAAATAAAAAATAAGATATCGTGGCCATGAATTAAGAATTTGTTCCCACGACTTAAAGGTGCAATAGATGATTGTCTTCAGAAACATTTTGTGTTATGCTGGTTGAAAGTCTCTTCACATCCCGATAGCAGTCATTAAGTTAAGTGGTCTAAATGTATTTATCTGTATTTATATATTCTGTGGAAGGTGTAGAACCAAGAAATGTTCATCCAATCAAAACGCTCAATCCGAGCGTTTTAATTGGCTTTCCTACCTGCCTGTCAATGTATGTATGAGCATACCTCTGCACACCCGGTTCGCACAGACAGGATACGTCATCAGCGCGTTTACGCACACTGTGCAGACAGAGCGAGAATGGCAGACAAAACATCAACAACCCGATTTTCCTTCCTGGTATTGTAGTACTTTTAAAGTTTTCTCACCGGTGAATGACACATGATGTAGCCAGCGGGTCCCAATTCCTGTCCTTGCACCCCCAGTTCTGCATATTTTGCATGTCTCGCTTTGTTAACACACCTGATTCAGATAACCAGCTCGTTAGAAGTGAGCTACGTGCATGAACTGTGTTCCGATCTATATGATCCCTACACAGTGTTCATTGCTCCCTATTCTCTGAGCAGGGGAAATCCTTTGAAGTTTACTTTACTTCAGAACATTCATTCACAGATTTGTGCTGCACAGCGTCTTCACACACATCACACTCTCACACACACACGTCTTCACATCCAGTGCGAGGACTGGAATTGGGAACCGCTGATGTAGCCTATTGTAGTAATGTTGTCTCTGGTATTCTGGTCTTTGAGCATATATGCGTTCAGGGGCGTGGTTTTGGACGGTGATTGCAGGGAGGGTGGGACGTTCGCTTTCAGTGCTATCAGGCTAAAGTTAGCATTTTCCAAGATCTCCTACTGCACCTTTAACTCGTTCCGTATTTTTATTGAAAGAGTGGCCGAATTGTACTAATTTGTTCCCTCCTTTTAATGTTTGGGTTAGGGTTATTTTTATGAATATATAACCTGTAATATATTCCATAATTCAAGATAATATATTGCTTTCCATATTGACATTATTGCATGCATCTGCAGATCTGTCTGAGTCTGATGAGGCTGCTGTATTATTTGGCCCATTCCCCGCTTGGGTCTGTCACCCTGCTGGACTTCAGGCCACGGCAGTTCGTTTTGGTGGGGGGAGTGTTGAAAGTGACCGACCTGGATGACGCCAGTGTTGAGGAGACTCCCTGCTCCCCATCTTCTCCTTCAGACTGTCTCATGGAGTTCCCTGCCCGCAACTTCACCCTCCCCTGCCACAAGGGTCGTTGTGAGGGTGTCAACGAAAAGAGAAACCTCTACAATGCTTACAGGTGCGTGTTCATGACCTGAGATCTGAGCCAACTTGTGCTTTGTTTGTGAGATATTGAAATTTTTCCCCCAATTTTTCAGATTTTTCTTCACCTACTTGTTACCTCACAGTGCCCCCTCAGCACTGAGACCCCTTCTGGACAAAATCGTCAACTCTACAGGTGAATGTGATTCCACTGCTTAAAATCTGCTTATCTCTCTGGAAAAAGTGGGTCATATCAGCTTAAGCTGGTTTTAGTAGCTGGTCTAAGGTGGTCTATCAGCCCAAACTAGGTCCATCAGATGTTGGTATAGCTGATCAGCCATCTAGGCCAGCTTGGACCAACTAATGACCATAAATGACTAGCTTGGAGTTAGAAACCATGCAAACCCACATACAGTACCACCTGAAGCTGGTTTTAGCTTCCGGGCTTGATAGTGCGAGCCTTTAATTAGCATTTATACTAAAAATAGATTTGTGTGAACTGTAAAATTAATTAAAGAGCATGTGTGCGAATAAAAAAAGTCTCTACAGGTCTTTAAAAAAAAAAAAAAATCCAGTTTTAAAATGTAAAATTTAACATCATAAAAAGTCTTAAATATCTGAAATGATATAACAAACATCTTAAACACTGCACATTTGTGCCAAACAATTTCTTATGATTTACTGTGAATTAAGTATGTCCAATTTTCACTGCATTTCAGGCTTGTTTATACTTAATCCTGCATTATTAATTAAGGTGTTTTTTTTCTACACAATATATCTGCCATTTAATTCCATGCAAACTGTAATAAAATAGACTAAGCACATCATTTAACACTTATTAATCTATCTATATATCGAGGGGTGAGAACCAGAAGGGCGTAAGCATTTTTGGTGAAATGGAGATAAATACAGTATATACTGTATATCAAATGAAAGCTCCTAATGAGCTCTCTCTACTGGCAAAAGTACTGTCATCCATGAGTGTACACATTTTTATTATAAACAATTGAAATCAGTAAACAAAGTCAGATCAAACTATGGTAAAATGTTTGTTTTGGCTCTCCTGTAAAGCTGGTGAAATCACACTTACGCCTTTCTGGTTCTCACCCCTCGATATACTGTATATATTGAATAATAAATATTTAAAAACCTAGTGTACATTTTGCACTTAGTGTACTTTGTTTGCATGGAAATGTCTCCTTGTATTACTTTAATATGTGTTATTAAGGAATAACACATATTAATAGATGCATTTTCATTTTTCATTTCATCCCTAAAGTTTTTTATGCATGCCTACATTTTTCAACTTAGGAGCACATGTGCTGCTTGGGAAAAAAAGTAAGCGTCAAGCAATGCTTTTTTTTGTGGAGGAGAAGTTTGCTCAAACATCCTCTACAAACATTCCTCCTCTTCACATCCCAACATTTCTCTTTCAGTCCCTGCCAGATGCCTTTTGTCTCTGCCCTTAATTCCTTTCCTTATCCGCTCTATCGTCATGTCCATCAATATAATGGCATGTCAGATAGTGTTTGAAATCTGTTTTTCTGGGACACAACAGTCCGTGAAGCCACGGGTAGCATGGGTGGGCCGGCCTCGATCCTATCTTTATCTCCCAGTGTCACGAGACATCCATTTCAGCATCACTATGCAGGCATGTTTTCTTAATGACAAAATGTAAACCGTTAATAGTTGAGTTGTTTATGCTGTATGAATGTGTTTCAGGAGAGCTGATATGGGGCACTGACGAGACTCTGGTTCACCTTGAAAAAGGTATCATAGTTTCTTAAAAAAAAATCAACACAACTGTTTTCAAAATTGATTATAATAAGAAATGTTTCTTGTGACACTAAAGACTGGAGTAAAAATTGGAAAAAAAAATAGAATCGAAAAATAGAAAACAATTATTTAAAATTGTAATAATATTTCACATTATTACTGTTTTTACTGAATTTGATCAAATAAATACAGCCTTGGTGAGCATAAGACTTCTTTCAAATGTGTTCACATCTTTAATCTTGCCATGATTAAATTGTATTTAATATATATTTTGCCAATATATCAGCTTTCTGCTCTCTAGATATTGGTTTCAGCATCAGCCATTAAACCACTCATATTGGTCAACCACTAATATTTAATACTTCATGTCATTTTCTCACACTGCATGTAAACAGGCCTTTATACTCTCTAGTCTAGTCCAGTGTGCAGTATATTGACTGGACACTTCTCTGCAGTGCTTGGTGTTGTAGGTGTTCATGTAAAGCAGGGTCCTCTGGCGGATACAGCTTCCCTGCAGAATTCACTCCTGCCCAACACACATTAAAAACGCACACTGTAAAAAAAATTCTGTCAAATTTACGGTAAAAAAACGGCAGCTGTGGTTGCCGGAATTTTACCGTAAAAAATACGGTAGCAATGTTTTAGGTTTTACGGTTTTAACTGAAATTTACAGTTAAATACCGTAATTTCATTAACTGATATAATGTTAATATGCCAACCTATTGAAGTACTGAAATCTGTTTTGTACCTTTGTAATACACTGATAAGCACCTAATGCAGGTGGTGATGAGAAAGTCACGTGATGAACCAAAGCCCATCACAAGCAGCTTTTAGATAATAACATATATAGAAGGTGCACAGTGTCATTCACACAAACACTAAACACCATCATGGTAACACACATTAAACTGAACCACACAACCCTAATATTCAAAACTAAGAAAAAACATAGTTATTTCAACAAAAAAACATCAAATGTGAAATGTAACGCAGGGAATTCTGGGGATGTCAATTTACGGTTATACGGTCTTTTTCACTTCAAAAAACGGTATACTACTGTAAAATTAATGTCCAATACATGTAATGTTCAATACAGTTTTTCACCGTATATAGTAGGGGAATTTACTGTTAACCATTTAACAGGTTTTTAGTGTAGCATTTTTGCAGTCTTTTACCGTTAAATTCATGGTCATTTTTTACAGTGCAGCATGCCTCTGGCCCACTAAATCACCTTCTCTCTCATTTCTCCTGCATCTTACAGGAACATTCAAAACAAGCAAGAGCTCCATAAAGCATTAATTAGTGCAATAAAGAGTCTAATAGTTGCTCTTATTTACTGGCTTCTAGCTCCACTTAGTTGCCACGTGCGGCTCTTGCTCTCCTCGATCCCACCGTGCTCACTCATCAGAAAGACTTCATCGAGGGCAGCTTGCCCAGTGACCTTCATTCAGAGCCGAAGAGAAATAGTGAATCACGTCAGTAAAGCCCATCCAGCCATATCCCTGAAGAGCGAGAGAGGGAAAATGAGACAGAGATTCCGACATTTATAGCCTAGTAGTCGAGACGTTTGTAATACACCGTTAATTCGGGTATTTTAAAGGCTGTGCTCCTTTTATCAGGCCCATTGTCACAGTGCTGTGAATGAGACCTTAGGTTTACGCTACAACCTTCTCGAAGAGCATAAAACCAAGAAAAACTCTACAAACCATTTGAGACGCTTTCCAGAACCATCTACAAACCTCACAGCAATGCAGCGGTGCCATATTGACAGCTCTCCAATTGATATATCCTGTCCACAAAGTGGACTACCCTGGGATCGTTTTTCACGAAAGCGTACGAATACATGACCACATTGTCAGCGTTTTTGCCAGAGGCATACAGTCCATGACAATGTATCCATCACCATTCCACTGTACTGCACACTGTAAAAGAGCCGCATATGGATTGTGAAAACGCATACTGGCTGTATTTCAGCGTGGTTGACTGGCATTTGGCATGTAATCAAAGCCGTCCTTCAACGGTCTTTAACGATCATATTAACGGTGCATTAGCATGAAAAAGAGAAACGTCACACAAAGTATTGTCAGCAACTCAGTTTGAAGATAGATGAGTGTGCAATGCAGGTTTGCTTGCTGGGTCTTGACACGATGTGCTAGCAAAGGGCTGCTTTAAGATACTTTAAAGACAAGTAAAAATCTATTAAACACAATGATACAGACCATGCTGACCACTCAAATGATATTTGTGAAAGTCAAGTCACTTTTATTTCTGTAGTATTTATACACTGCAGACTGTCAAAGCAGTTTCACAGTAAGAATCAATTATGGAAAATCAATTATGGAAACAATTCGATGTTTCTACTAAAAGACAATAGTGTCTATGGCTAGTGACTTTTTACCAAAGTCTGCCTTTCAGCAAATCAGTTAAGCGCCAATGGCATATCCTGTTATGAATAATTGTTTTCCACACACACACACACACTTTTCATATCGTTGCTACTCGCCCGTTTTCACCAAATCGAGCTGCTCGCAGCTGTTGAATTAATATGGGCTGCAATATATATTATTTCGCTCATCTGAGAGAGAACAGCTGCCCCTATTCTGTAATGTAATGTCGTACGTTCAGTATTACAAACACAATGTTGTGTTAATGTGAATCACGTCTTGTAATGTTGACTTGATACAACATGACCGAGATGAGAAGCAGACAGCTGCGCTTTTTATGATAAAAAAACACACACATTAAAGGTCTGGCCATCATAGCTCTGTGAGGAGAATGTTGGCAGCGTTACAGTGGTCTGTTCCTCACACATCTCTTCTCATTAGTTACTCTTGACGTGCACTGACCTTATGACTCTACCATCCACATTAGTTTAATATCATACTGTTTTATAACCAGACGTGACATTATAATGGACAATCGATTAGGATGTGAAATCTCACTTGTTAACAAATTCTGCTATATAGTATAGCATATATCGAATATGTTCCTATTGGTTATGATTGTGACACATGCCATTTTATGTTTAGTTTGGACAGACACATTACTGGAACTATGGAGGTATTTAAAAAAAAAAAAAATGTCCTAAAAAAATCTCATTGACGTTACTGTAATGCAATAATGATAATAATAATATACTATGATGGTTATCTAGTATTTTTCATTTTAATAGCAGTATTTAATGTTGTTTTAATAACAATATTTAATGTTAATATTATGTGATATTAATCTGTTCTTCAGATTGCGTATCCTCTTGAGAGTCACAGAGAAGCTGGAGCTTATGTAATATTATATTTATATAATTATTAATTGAATTATAATAATTGTATTATTATTATAATTCAATTATTATAATAATTGTATTAATAATATTACACTATTAATAGTATTATGATAATATATTTTAACATTATATTATTTAAATTAATGAATTTATGTATCGCGGTTGTATTTGTTTTACTGTCTTTGCTGTGTTTTATTGCATTTATTCTGATTTAAATAAAACAAAAATCGCTGGATTACAGTAAAAAAAAAAATATTGTATTACAGTAAAGATAATCTAATGGGAAGCACAGAATTACAAAAAAAGTTAACTGTCCGGATGCATAACGGTAATGAAAACAATATTTTACTGCATTACAGTAATGAGAATTGGGTGAAAATGTGCTTAATTGTCAGAAAGTGCTTTTTTTTAATGTTATCTGAGTTTCAACACAGGATTTGTTTCTATAGGTCAGTGATGTACTGCATTGTTGAAGAGCTGACAACACAGTGATAAGTGACAGAATGAGAGAGAAGGGGCAGATGAATGTGTGGGTCGGACAGATAGAAGGGACACTGTTAGTTTAGTTTTCTTTTGGTCATTGTATTACAGTAAAGATAATCTAATGGGAAGCACAGAATTACAAAAAAAGTTAACTGTCCGGATGCATAACGGTAATGAAAACAATATTTTACTGCATTACAGTAATGAGAATTGGGTGAAAATGTGCTTAATTGTCAGAAAGTGCTTTTTTTAAATGTTATCTGAGTTTCAACACAGGATTTGTTTCTATAGGTCAGTGATGTACTGCATTGTTGAAGAGCTGACAACACAGTGATAAGTGACAGAATGAGAGAGAAGGGGCAGATGAATGTGTGGGTCGGACAGATAGAAGGGACACTGTTAGTTTAGTTTTCTTTTGGTCGTCACTCGTCACTCCTTTATTTGCCTTTCTCTCTTTTTATCTGCTTCCCTCTTTCTCTTGGCCTCCCTCTAACTGTGGCTGCCATGACGGAGGCATTTATTGTGGTCGGGGTCACGTTGAGTGGTGTTTATAGTGTGTGTGTGTGTGTGTGTGTGTGTGTGTGTGTGTGTGTGAGTGAGTGAGTGAGTAACTGAGTAAGCAAAAGATAAAGGCAGAATCAGAAGACACATGTCAAACTGACTAACAACAGCCTGAAGACTCCCCTCGTCAAAGAACAAGACAGCCCCCTGTGTTAACACAATGAAGGAGCTTGTTTCACTGTGTGTAAACCTCCTGCACACACACACACTATGATTTCTTGGACTGTTGTTAGGCATTTGATTTATTGAGCAGTGTATGTCAGTGCTGGCAGTTTGGCCAGAAAGCACTGAACATGAAAGATTTACTTAAAAGTGACATTAAGAACAGTAGCAATAAAATAAAAAATAAAATAAAATACATCTATAGTAATTTCTTCAGTCTTTATTAGAATAACATCTTTTCCTGGATCTCATTCCTCTTTCTCTCTTTTGACAGAATATAAACATGTGTCAGAGGCCTCGATAGCAGCAGAAAACTACCGCTGCTGGCCGTCTTATCAGCACGACGCATGCCTGCTGTCAGTCTTCAGCGTCGATGAAGCTATTGACGTGTGTGAGAGCCATGCCCAATGCCGGGCCTTCGTCATTACCAATCAGAGCACATGGACAGGTAATGTTGCACAGTGTTACTCTGTTTCATTGTGTGTAGGACAGCTCAGTACGTTATACTTGACTAACTAGACATGATGAAATGTAAGTCAAGTAATTTTTCTGATTTCAGTGACCTTTACATTTGTTCACTTAGCAGTTAGAAATAAGGAGTGCAGCAAAGCTATTCATCCTAAAGAGTCAATAATTCAATAGTGAATAGAAATACAGTTTCATAAGTTTAAAACCTTGGCTGCATCTGAAATCACATAATTTCTGAGTATGTACTTATTTTGGATAAGTAATTACTTTCTTACTCTTTAAAATGTATGTTGTATAACCTGACCCTATTTACTATGTTAGCACCATAGACTGTAAAAAAAGATGGACGATGCGTCTCCACTACCTTCCACTATAGAAAAGTGAAGCCGAAATATCCCAGATATGGCCGCTGTCATCTTGTACCAATGACGTCATTTGGAACCGGAGTCTACACAGAAGTGATTCATTTGGAGCCAGAGTTTGCGCAGAAGTGATTCATTTGGAGCCTGAGTTTGCGCAGAAGTGATTCATTTGGAGCCTGAGTTTGCGCAGAAGTGATTCATTTGGAGCCTGAGTTTGCGCAGAAGTGATTAATTCGGCGCCTGAGTTTGCGCAGAAATGATTAATTTGGAACCTGAGTTTGCGCAGAAGTGATTCATTTGGAGCCTGAGTTTGCGCAGAAGTGATTCATTTGGAGCCTGAGTTTGCGCAGAAGTGATTCATTTGGAACCTGAGTTTGCGCAGAAGTGATTCATTTGGAGCCTGAGTTTGCGCAGAAGTGATTCATTTGGAGCCTGAGTTTGCGCTGAAGTGATTAATTTGGTGCCTGAGTTTGTGCAGAAGTGATTCATTTGGAGCCTGAGTTTGCGCAGAAGTGATTCATTTGGAGCCTGAGTTTGTGCAGTAGCAGTTTAGTTTGGCTCACGTCCCATTCATTTACATGGAGAGGGTAGGGTTTATGAACTATACTGCAGTCAGCCACCAGATGGCGATCAAAATGTTTTGGCTTCACTTTTCAGGATGTGTGAGGCACACTTCGTTAGCGCACACTACTAGTCTTCTGGAGAACAGTTAATCAGTGGTGTGTTTCCCAAATGCATTGTTACCCAATTATGGTGGCAAGTTCTGTTGAACTCTGTTAACAATGGAACTTGTGACCATAGTTTCTTTTGGGAAATTAACTCCTGCACAGTTATAACGGACGGATTAATCCAGAGACAAAAACTCTGAACTACTCAGTAATACATCAAAGTAAAGTTGGTCACATATTTTGGTTTACGTTGACTTTATCGTTTAATAAGCTACCATGTGTGGACTTGCTAACATCAAACTACAAAATGCAATTGTGAATCGAGTTATCGCTATTTATATGTTGCACAGAACTGCTGTGTATGTAGACTCAGTGTATGTATGTTTCAAACCGGTCACTTGTGAGAATCCATTTCAGTTAGGATGCCTTAGTGACAGCTGTCTACAGTATGTTTGACAATAGACAGCAAGGCAGCTCTCTAGATTTTGGAACAGAGCCACTGTAGTGTGTTGTAGTGTTAATGTAAATGTGTGCATGGATTTGTGTGAATGTATGTCCTTTGGTAAATGAGAAATGTCGTCCTGATGAGTGCTCTAACTGCCGTGACTGTCCACTCCTCACACCCCGTTCTCATTCCTCCCTCTTCTCTCATCACCACACACAACAACTGGACGTAGACTAGCGGTTCTCATTGGTTATTCACAAACCCCAGTATGGATCAGAGATCTGTTCTTACCATCCAGTGGAAAATTGTATGCCTTCGAGGTTGCTTTTTTGTAGCTTGGGATATTTCTAAGATGTTTCTACTAAAACTTCTTAGAAGGAGACAAATGGGACAATGGTTGACATATAGAAGAAGTGTAGAGCTATAAGATTGATGTGCATATTTCTCAGAACATTTCTCTTGAAAGAACTACATGAGTTCATATTGAAATCACTGGCTTTTGATTAAAGACTTTGTCCTGGAATCTGAAGAGTGATCATATCTGAGTATGATACATTTTCGAGAGCTTGTAAAACTCTAGAGGAGACACATGAGATTATTGGGTATTTTTGTCAGGAGGAGGTTCTCCATTCCATAAAGTTATTATTGTCTAGGAAAAATATGTTCTAATATTGAAGAGATTTTGCTTTGCAATCCCTTTTTGTTGTTGATCTCATAACCTACAGTATTTCGGCTCAAATGTATCCATCGCTTGGTAGAAATTTGCCATATTAGATAGTAATAAGGTGCAAAATTTCAATGAAATTTCAAATTCACAGTTATTTTCAAACCAAGTAGCCTTCTGTTGGTCAGTGCAGCAAATCTGCATGATCAACTTGAACCTGTTGCGAAATCTGCATCCTGCCAATTTTTCAGCATCATTTAAAATCCCCAAATTCTTATTGAAAGGACTTTGCCTGTGAAAATTCACCGAACATCAGTAAATGTGACTGTACCACAGCACTCTCTTTCGCGTTTCTATTTCTCCCATTTCCTGTTTCTCACATCCTGTTCATTCTGTCTTTCGTCTGCTGTTTTGTAGCAGGAAATGGCCATTCTTTCTCACAGCCTGTTTCACTCTGCAGGTCATCAGCTTGCGCTCTTCAAAACCGGTGCAGCCAGCATGACCACGGCTCCAGGTAAACTCTCGTACATACGACTGGGGGCAGCTGAGAGTTGAGATGAGAAAGCGCCATACAGTGTGGTCAGTCATCATCAGTATCTTCTGATCATCTCCCTCTGAAGACACTCATGTGCTGTAGTTCCTGAGGACATGTTGCTCAGGATTTTGGGAGGACGGTCAAAAGAGAAAGCACCTTTCAGGAAGTTCGAGACTCGCTCAGGCGGAGGTCAGCTGTCAACTATGTGCAATACTGCCTCTCTGAACCTGGGATTGGACGGTGAATATGTTTGTGTACCTGGCAGAGATGCAGAGAAGCTGTTTGTGCTTGTCACGGCAACATGTGTGTGTGTGTGTGTGTTTAATGAGTCTCTGCCCACACAGAATCCTCTTTTATTTGCTCTGATATTCAGCACTTTTTTCTCCATGTGAAACAGGGTCTATTTGTTGAGCTTTTAAAAGCATTTGCTTTGATTTTTGAAATCTTTTCAAATAAGTGCTCATGAAAAAAAAGTTCTTCTGACAATTGATTCTAAATGTTCACTTAGACCAGTCTAAACAAGTAATTTATTGGTTTAAAGAATGAAAACACCTTTTTTAAATTATGAAATAATTTTTAAAGACTGAAGTTTCAGATCAGCAAACAGATCAGCAGCAAATCTGAAAATGTATATTACAAATCAGACCCCCCCCCCCCCCCCCCGTGCCTTTT